TTAAAGATTAGAACCTGAGGGATACGTGCATAAGCCGATCAAATAACAACTGATGCAGAACATATTCCTCAAGCTGAAATGTTCTATTATTGTCGAAAGAAGAACTCGCATCGTACAGAAAGCAATGTTCTCAAAGAAGTGATGGTGAAAGAGACGCCATATAACTTTACCTTAAAAATTACTTGAAGGGAAAACTAACAAATTTTTTTCCACAATTTAAATTTTTCAGTCAAATACGTCATCGTTCAAGGAAGACAACACAATAGAAAAGTGAGTGTTAATCTTAACAAAGGCAAGTTACTGCAGTAGCTTGATTGCAGTAAGCAGCCACCCGATCACACTTCACAGGAGTCAACAATTTTTTTTTTGCATTGGAAGAGTTGAGCTATAAAAATTAAATTCGTTTCAAGCTTTCATAATATCAACTGCCCTCAAAATTCCTGGATTGATAACCAAAATAATGACGGAATATACGATAGCAATGTGAAATCAAGTAAGTTGCTCACAAATTGGATCCCATTTAAACACGCTCACCCTGCCTTCTTGTACGCGATATTTCACACCAAGACAACTAGGGACGCGAGAACGTTATTCGTTCGGTTCTTGTACCGCACTGAGACTAGTCTGCAGAGAATCCCAAAAATTACGAACGTTCTTATGCAATCTTCAATAATTAAGCTGTCGGCCGTAGGGATGCTTGGAAATTCCAACTAAAAGCATACTTGTCTGCAAAAGCTACTTCTATAGCCGCTCAAGCAGACATATGCTCAAAGTTGAACATTTCTATCGTTGGACATTATTTCGTAGGCTTGAAGAGCAGTAATCTCCAGATAATTCGAAATCAAGGAAACACTTCAACAAAGACTCAATCTATTAATTTTCATCCTGTTCAATGTCTACACGTGCAGTGGTCTTTACAATCAAATTGTTTGAAGCTCTCTGAAGGAGACAAAAATGTGCGATTCAGTGCGGAGAAGAGCCAAGTACTTGTGAATGGATCGATTGAGGATATGAGCAGAGAGTGGATGTTGGGAGGGAATGAGATTGTTAGGACAAATGAGTATAAGTACTTAGGGGTGTGTGTGGACCATGAAGGATGTCAGAGAACAAAGGCCGCGAGTTTAAGGAAGGCGAATTAATGGTTGGGTATACTTGGAAGTTTTAATTTAAGTTTAATTTAAAGTTTAATTTAAACTCTTTGCAATTAACGAGACAAATAATCTATAAATACAGATTTAATTTAAGAAATCCTAGGAGATATTACTTAAAAATAGAAATTTTATATTTTTTTGGAATTGCTTTACGCAAAACCTAGAGCACGCACATACATGCGGTTTGTTGCGTTAGACGCGCTGTTTCATCAGCAAAAAAATAAGCCAAGAAACCGGGAAAGCCAAAATTTTAGATTTTTGACCGACATGCTAAGTGATGGTGTGGAGTGATGGTGTGGAGTGATGGTGTGGAGTGATGGTATGGAGTGACGGTGTGGAGTGATGGTGTGGAGTGTCAAATAATATAATGAATACAAGAGGCTGTTTGACTAAATTACGTTAACATTTAATGCTTTATTCTCAGTTATCAGACAAGCACCTGAGCGACATGGCATTCGTACAGCACTTCCGTGAGTATAGTTTATGTTTATGTATTTCTTTAGAAAATTCAATTAGTGGCGGAGTGAATTGCAATTGATGATTTATGTTATCATTTTATATATTTTTTGAGCATTTTTATCCATATTAACAATTTATGATACAAGTCATGATAATTTATTCATTAGTAATTAAAGAGAAGTTTTTTATAATAATATTATTAACAGAATAGGTTTGAAGCGCTTGGATAAGGAGGAAGCGCTGTCCATGAATGAAATAGAGTTCAGGTAATAATAATATTATAAGGGTAATACTAATAACAGGGTAATAATAGTGTATATTTTGGCTACGAAATGACAATAAAGATCTCATTCAGCGTTGACTGTGAGGAGATCTGTTAATTACATTAATAAGCAATCATGCAATGAATAATATCAAGAATAATTATAGGCATTAGGGAAAAATAAAGTATTAAAACTTTCAGGAACGACTTTGGCGCCAAAATTTCATTATTTTATAAAATTATTTTATTATAAACAAAATTTATAAAAATTATTGCATCGGCTGTTCAATCTCAAGACATATTGACGGTAAAACTTCGGAAAACTCTTATGTTTCGCGCTAAGTTCTCAAAATGGCCGCAACTTATCACACACACTATAAGTACATGCTAACCTGCGGACCAAATTTTATGCGATTGAGTTATTGAATGCTTTTCTCGGTCAAAATTCCATAAAACAGTTTAGAAAATCAATCAGTTGTATATTTAATTTCCATTAATATAAATCTATTCAGAATTTATGTCAAAATATAGATAAAGCAATGTTCAATGTTGTGTTTTTTTTTGTCATCTTTTCAATGTTGTTTGGACAAATGAGTGTGTACCTGATGCGTGGAATGAAAGTCGTGTCACCTTGCTTCACAAGGGTGGCCGCAAGAGCAAAAAGGAACTTAAGAACTACAGACCGATTGCCCTTGCTGACACCAGCGGTAAGATTTTCTGTGCGGTTATGAATGAGCGGATGCAAAGATGTATTAGGAACGAAAGAGTGTTTGGTGAAGAGCAAAATTGTTTTAGATATGACAAAAGAGCAGAATATAATATATATGTTGTGGATAAACTGATCGAGAGAATGAAAAGAGATGGAAAGAAAGTGTACTTGGCTTCTCTAGACACAGAAAATGCGTATGACCGGGTGGATAGAGAGCTTCATGCAGTGCCAAACACTGGGAAAAATTGGAATGAGTGAAAAATGTGTGAGGCTTGTGAGAAGTATGTATGTGAATACTAGAGCAAAATATAGACTTGGAGATATAAAAATTGACTGGGTGAGGAGCAAGAGAGGCGTACGACAAGGCTGCATCCTGTCTCCCGCTTCTCTTCAACCGCTACACAGAAGAGATGGTCACGAGGGTGAGGAGAATGGATGTTGGTGTGCGTGTAGGCTGCGAAAGGTTAAGAATGCTTCTGTATGCTGATGATGCTGTGATTATGAGTGAAAATAGCGAGGAACTGCAAAGTATGCTGGACTGTGTGACTGAGTATGGGAGGGACTTCAATGTGCGATTCAGTGCGGAGAAGAGCCAAGTACTTGTAAATTATTTAACCTGTCCTTGCTCGACTACAGTTTTAATGTTCTAATCCAATTATTTAACCTGTCCTTGCTCGACTACAGTTTTAATGTTCTAATCCAATTAGTCAACCTGTCCTTGCTCGACTACAGTTTTAATTTACTAATTGAATTATTTAACCTGTCCTTGCTCGACTACAGTTTTAATGTTCTGATTCAATTATTTAACCTGTCCTTGCTCGAATACAGTTTTAATGTTCTAATCCAATTATTTAACATGTCCTTGCTCGACTACAGTTTTAATGTTCTAATTCAATTATTTAACCTGTCCTTGCTCGACTACAGTTTTAATGTTCTAATTCAATTATTTAACCTGTCCTAATTGCTCGACTACAGTTTTAATGTTCTCATTCAATTATTTAACCTGTCCTTGCTCGACTACAGTTTTGATGTTCTAATCCAATTATTTAACGTGTCCTGGTCAAGGCGTTCGTCTGTTCCGTCGAAGGAAGTTCCGAGCGACGATCGCGACGATCGCCGCAGCCGTGATAGCCCTGCTGGGGTGTGCTAGCGTTCTTCGACAAGCAGGTAAACTGGGACGCGAGTGCTGGTAAACTGGGACGCGAGTGCTGGTAAACTGGGACGCGAGTGCTGGTAAACTGGTACGCGAGTGCTGGTAAACTGGGACGCGAGTGCTGGTAAACTGGAACGCGAGTGCTGGAGAACTGGGACGCGAGTGCTGGTAAACTGGGAAGTGAGTGATGGTAAACTGGTACGCTTAATTAATAAAAATAGTTAATTATTATACCAGCAAAGGAAGGAGTTTAAACTGCTAAAGGATGAGAAAAAGTTTTGCAATTTAAGGAATAAAAATTGCTGTTTCAGCATTGCAGCGAATAGTCTACATAAAAAGTCTAATAGTCTACATAAAAACTGAGATACGGAGAGATAACTAGGAATGATGATACAAGTTAACTGGAGAACAGTTCAGAGCAATTTGTGTTCGTCCTAGCTGGTCAATACAGAGGGTAACCTGCTTACGCGTATGCAGGTGAAGGGGAGCGTGATCAGGTGTAATGGCTGCCAAGTTGAGACAAATATTAAATCAGTTTTATTTACTCAGCCTGTTGTATTAACCAAATTATAACCGAGTGTACCCGGCAGTTGGTCATAGCGCCCTGCACAGCCAGCCTTCGTCTGCAGTCGACGGAGGTAGTGGAAGGAAATGCCATCACTGAAAAAGTTCATAAAACGTGCGTTGCGAAATTCAGTGAAGACGGCACGGTGAAACTGCCTGAATAGTACATGTGAGTCCAAATTGTAGAATTATTAAGCCTATATTGTAGCTCGGAGGCTTGTGACACTAGAAAATAGATTGTATTATAAAACAAAGTTTGTACAAAGGCGAGGAGACATTGAAAACTGTAAGTGCTTTTTACAGAACGGAACATCAGCAATTGAAGATATTCGATAACAACTAAATATGAATTAAATTCATTTAACGTAGCTAAAAAAACGGTGATACTAAAGAAATCACGAGTGAATGCTGTTAGAGCCTTAAAAAATAAGGAAACAATCTTCCGAAATTTTACGATACTGACGAGTTATGGAGAAGAAATAACGTCTTAATTAATAAGCCAAAAACGTACTAACTTGTGACCGCACGTGCCACCAGAGACGTGGTGCCAGACATCGCGGCGTCCAACGTCTACTTGATGGAGACGTCGTCTGCAGCAGCCCTGCCCCCCGGGTGGCTCTGTGGGGTAGAGAGGTGATGATAGTGATGAAGGGTGGCTAGTGAATTATGCTGGTGATTAGGCATGGTTAATATTGATTAAGCATGGTTGATGGTGATGAAAAACGTGTGATGGTACTGTTCACTGTAATGGCAAGTGTTTACCTTAGGAACTCCCTCGCAAGCAGCACAGTGGTATTGAGATGGGAAACTGGTAATTCTGATGGCTTTGTTGAATACGTGCTACTCCACATAAAGAAACTGGACCTCTGCGTGGCCATAGTCTTTAGGCCGCCTGCTTGCCCTCCGGATAATTTTAACAAAACCAATCTGGTCAGAACGAGCACTACCACGAGGGCCTCGAGGACCGGCCTCGAAAGACAGTAACTGATGCACGTATTCGTAACAGAGCGCCAAAGCAAGCGGTGGTGACTTTGGCAATATGATTATTCATAGAAAGTTCCGAGACCAACATAATGACAAGTCGCGTACTGCGGACGCAGGCATGACGAACTCGTTGCCTACGCGAACAAGGTCGGAAGCTGATGCTGGCGCCGTGCAGTCGCGAGCCAAATAAAGTCGGTTTTTGCTGCATTGAGCTGGAGCCGGTTGGAGCGCATCCAGTCTGAAACGGCGTCCATGAAGACAGACATTCGATCCAGCAACGCTGCGGCGTCAGCCGGTGCACAGTAGCCATAAATTTGGGTGTCGTCGGCAAACATGTGCGGATTAAAACTATGCGAGTCAATTATATGCAATACGTAGGCAGCATATATCAGGAAGAGGATAGGGCCGAGAACTGATCCCTGTGGTACGCCGCAAGTGACCAACGATGGCGTAAAAGAAGATTTCCCGCTTCAAACGCATTGGAATCTATTGCTGAGATAGGACTTGAACCACAGCAGCACTGTGCCGCGCACGCCGAATGAAACGTCAAATCGACGCATTAAGGTGGCGTGGTGTCAAACGCGGCCGACAGGTCGAGTACAGCTAGTGCCGTAATGTCGCCCCGGTCTGCTGCTGGCAGATTGGTCGAAAGACCTTCAGCACAGCGGTTTCCGTCGAGTTGAGATGACGGTATGCAGATTGGAGGCAAGGCATGAGACCGGACTGCTGAAGATGGTTGTTTAACTGTCGGGCCATAACGCGTTCAAGGAGTTCAGACAAAATTACCAGGTTGGAGATGGGTCGATATCATGGGATCGGCAGTGTCAAGGTCATGTATTTTAATAGAGGCTTAAGGTAAGCTGATTTGAAGTTTACCGGAATAACACCGTCAGTGAGGCAGCGGTTGAAAAATTCGACCAGAAAAGGTGCTAGGGTTACAACATTCCCCTTAAGTAACGACGTCGGCAGCGGATCGCTGGCACACTGCTTGTTAGGCAGCGCGCGCACTGCAGCGATGGCGTCGTCAGCTGTGACACGAGTGAATTCCTGGAGTACGCGGTCGAATGGGCACGGCGCAAATGTTGCCAGAACAGCAGCTGCCGACGACGCTCGCACAGTATTGTTTTAAAAAACCGCATGGAAGTTTTGTTTTTAAAAACCGCATATTAGTAAGCATCGATTGGTTTCTCATACGCACTCAACCTTCCTGCGTGCATCCGCCCCAGGTTTCAGAAGCAGTCACAGGGTAACTCGTAGGTTCGGTTTGACTAGGCCAGGCCTACCCTCTGGGCATCATAAAGATGTAGCAAGTCGGAAAGTAGATTCTCATAAGTTTAATAGGGTAGCCAAGTAGACCCAAATAACTGGGCTGCATGTAACGTCTCCGACCAGGAGCAGGAGCGCAAATTTTGTTGCATGATTCAGCACGTATGTTAGTTAAGCAAAAAATTCAATAGTTTCTGTTTCAAAATGATTCATAATTCGATTGTTCAACTTTTATAAATATGTGAGGGACGATGGCACATTTTATGCCAATTAATGGTGCATATGGTTTATCTTTATTCCGGTTTGTAGATAATTTGTTGAACTTGATGTGCGAGGACTTGCGTCAAAAAATAAAAATTTCAGCTAATTATATAGTAACATGCGTCGGTAATTTATTTTCCTTTGTGCTAATCTCCACAATTTGCTAACGGCCGACATCAGCCAAGTTTATCTTATTCTATATTGTATAAAATGATTCGACGTTTGTTCAATAGCCGGGCATATTTTGGTAGGTAACTCGCCTGTGGTTAGAATACCGGACATTTCTGCGTCGACTGATTCCTTGTCTAATAATATTATGTTTAATTAACCGACGTGAAAATTATAAACAACAAAACTGGACACGATCTTACAACGAAAATTTCGTTAGGTAAGCATTACAAAAAATCTTCTTCACAAACACTATAATAATGTTACGGATGTTAAGACTAGATAGAAGCAATCATTAAACATTTGCTATCAAATTAAAAAAACTTTATAATTTGAAATTATAGACTAATCATAGTCCGGTTTAGGAGTATTGAATTTTGGTACAATTGGAAACCAAAAACAAAGAAAGCGTTGAAACTTTTATTGTGNCCGGCCGGCCACTGAAACGCCGGTAATACCGTTAACGGTAACTTTTTTAACAGTATATGTTACGGTTGTAGCTGTCCCAAGCTACGATGGATCATCGCCTCTGACTATCACGGGACGCCTGTCGGAGACCACCACTGCCGTGCTTCGAATGGACTATCATGATCCCTTCCCTGAAGAACGTAGCCTACAACACATCATGACTGTAACGTTATCAGCCACACGCCACCAGACAGATCACATCCATTGAATTAGATCAATGAGCCCACAGGAAATTAAGCCTGGCGTCTTATGGCCCAGCGTCGTCTGCCAACACGCGAAAAAATTTTACACCGCCCGGACGGAGCGCGCCGGAGCCGTCCATATCTGTCCCGTGTGTCGAATCAGCCTACGGTCGAACGGCCACGCGTCGTACGACGATAAATTTTGGAACAGAACTATGCTACCTGAAACCTAACCTCAGATGCTGTGAGCTAAAAGTTACGTAATTTAGCGAAGCTGTAGAAGTCGCTCGTCGAAGGACGATAGATTTTGGAACAGAACTATGCTTTCTGAAACCTAACCCCGGATGTTGAGCTAAAAGTGACGGTCTGGTGGTGCACGGCAGGATGCATGCAGTTCCACTGGTGACCTGGGCTGGTTGGTCGCAGTCCGTTGTCTGCAAGTTACAGTTCGAGCTAAAGTCTGGGCATGAAGTGATGATTCGATGCAACTTTCAGTGGTGCGTAACCATTACTCTTTGGGCTATTCGCTTCAGAATGTGGTGGCGTAAAGCTCCTAATATTTAAAGCAAGATGATCTCACGGGCTGGTTACCGACGGATGGCTTAATTTGCGGCTGATTGGTGGTCATCCGGAAATATGCTAGGAGTTCCTTTCAAGGCTGATTGGTGCAGAAATTTGAGGGTGCACGGCTGCGTACCCCCTTTCACGAATCCGCCCTCATTTAGGCTAGATTGATAAATTTGCGCATCTCAAATCATTCAAAAAACATTATTCATCATATTGCTTTGGACTGTGGTATCAAAAATTAATGTAAATAGAATAATGTTAACGATGTTAGCGATATAAACTTCATAAAAATAATATTTACTTCGTAGAATTATGTATGAACAAATAAAATTGGAATCGAATATTTATGCTTTCAGAGTGACACCATACTGGCCAACGGCATCCACCGCATGCGGCGCCAGCACCCCATGTTCCTCAGCGTCATGCGGCACATAGCGGCCAACTATAATGTGAGGGCATGTTGGGCCATGTTGCCTAGCGTCATGAGGCACATAGCAGCCAATTATAATGTGAGGGCATGTTGGGCCATGTTGTGGGGCCTCATACGGCACATAGCTGCCACCTGTAATGTGAGGGCATGTTGGGTCGTACCTGGCATATTTGAACATGTGTGTTTGTACGATGAGTCTATTGCTGGCCGAAGATTCGCCCTAGAACTTAACGCTGGTGAAGAGAAAGCCGTATTATCAGGGAAACGGTTGACTGTAGAGAAATACTAGTTCATCGCAGCTATCCTGCACCAATAATAATGAGCAGCTATCCTGCACCACAATAATAATAATGCACCTTGTATACTTCAATGAGGGAACCACGCAGATGTCGACAACAGAGACTTGGAATTATTATATTATTATTATAACATAAGATAATATAATAAGATTTCAAAATATTGAGTTTGTGACTTGATTCATGTAAAAGACTCATTTTTCACTTCCGATTGCAGAGCAAAGTATGGGCGTTCAACGGGCCGATAGCCCTGACAGCCGTAGCGCAACAACTTGGATGTGACCGAACTCCCGTCGGCTTAGATCGTCTGCTGAACGTCACGAACAACCGAACATCACAAACGATTCAACCTGGTAATGCAACCCAACTACAACAACTGTAGTTCTAATGAATGTCGTTTCGCTCGCCTGTCTGCCGCGTATAACCAATAATTGACCATCCTCTGCCGCGCCGTACATCGCGTCGTCATGTTTTACCTGCTCAGAATTCGACGCACTTTATTCCACTTATTTACTGTAGATGACCAACATCAACAACTGATGAATCTGCTACACTAGTGTTACTATTGCATCCTAAATTTATTCATAATATTTCACCAAAATGAGAGCAACCCTGGCCCGGAATGCATCGTAGGATGACGCTGAGACTGCATCCGTAGGAAGAGGGTTCCATTCTGGTGTGGTTTTGGTGAAAAATGCCATCTGACGGTATAGAGTCCGGCTGAAGCGGACGACATAATGTTGATGGTGAGTCTTCCTGGTAAACTAAATAGAGCTGATGACAGTGAGGAGGTGACTGGTATTAACGGTGGCTAGATTGTTGTGGATCTTGTAAAACATGGCAAGTCTAGCACGCCTCCGTCTGTCTGGCAACGTTGGCCATCTCAGGTCATGGAGCAGGTTGTCCACACTTGAAGTCCAGCGTAACTGACGCGAGACCCATTGCACTGCTCCACGATATATTTCTTCGAGGGTTGCAATATCTTCTACTAAATAAGGATCCCACGCACAACTGGCGTACTCCAGCATGAGGCGGACTAATGCTTTATAGGCGGCTGTTTTGCTGGGTTTCGGCTAATAAAGCCCAAGGTAAGGTTAGCCTTGTTATTCATGTTGGATGAGTGGGGCTTTCACTTCAGCTCCTTGGAAAGTGTTTCCCCGAGGTACTTAAGCTGGGTTGCTTCCATCAGCAGGTACCCACACTTCTGGCCCTATGTCGAGTCAAATGGACAGTGGAGTATTTTTCAAAGTGGAAAGATATCTTCCGTCGCTGTTAGCATGCTGCAAGGACGTTCACGTCCACTAATATGGAATCTTAAACATCGGCTGTTCCGATTGCCTTGAGGCATGCAGTGTCTCTGGCAAAAAGCCTGGCCCTGGAGGAGAGTCCGGCCGGAAGGTCGCTTATATACAATAGAAAGAGCGATGAACCTAATATGGAACCCATGGAAACCTAATACGGGTGGTCGGGTTTTCCTGTATTATTTAGTGAACACAGTCTCTTATTCCGATAAGGCCATAAAATTGAATGCTGAAAATTAACTATTTTGCTCTTTGCCGTTGTTGTATAATTGTACAAAGTTGTCATTTACTACAAAATATAATGTCTTTATGCAACACAATAAAAACGAGGTAGAAATTCTTTGGTGGCTACAGGGCGGCCGGCGATGGTCAGCTACTTGGCCGCTGATAACCCGCCTCTAACCTTATTAGTTATCGTCATGCAATGATTGTTTTATCAATTGTTAAGTTACACGTCTTTTCATTACGCTGTGTCCGCGAGTTTTGACTAGAACTGGTCAGCGAACATTTCAGGTTCACTTGAAACAGGCTACATGGGTGATATACGGCGCATGAAATGACGAAGAACTTGTTAAAGGCTGAAGTATGTGCGGGAAGATATCAGGGGTTATAATGAAGGCGCGACAGAACCTTCGATATTATTAATATATTGGCAAAAGTATCAGAGGAGCTTAATATTTAATAAAGCAGAGTCAACCTATAGTAGCCCCTAGACGGTCATTGCGCAATATCATTGAGCATCTAGGGGTGACATTGACGGTATACGCAATATATTTTGTGGTTTTCAGAATTTCGAAAATATATTGCGGCATAATAACTGTAAGATATTATGCCGTATAAAGGCTATATTACGCAATATTCTCACTCAGTGCTTCCTTAGTGGTAGTTCGACGTGGTTGTGTCAATCGCATGCTTTTATCATGGCGGGCAGAAGAAACTTCTTCTAGAATTTATTGAGCTTTATAGAGAGTCTCCAAGCTTCATGGGATGTTTACTTTAATGATTATAATAATCGTTAAAGAATGGGGAGCAGTACAAGATGCTGATTGAATAGTACTCGCATTTCAGTTACTATTAATGATTTTTGAAATAGAATTCTCCATTAATAAACCAGTACTTAGACCATTTTTCTCTTTCTACGAGCCCATATATTTTAATTTAGGCCACACAATAATGCCAAAACACGATTCAGTTTCATGACATAACAGTGATATCGGCGCTGAAGAATAGGCCTGATTTGGCCTGTTGTCGATTCTTGTACTTTTCGTTACTTGTTCCTGGGAGAGGTAAAAACATGTCCTCTGACCGGATTTTTCCCAAACTGACGATAGTTTTAAATAGCTACTTGATTTCCACCGGGTTCGATATGGTGCTAGGCATTTCAAGTCTGAACATATATCTCTCCATAGCTTTATCTAGTCTGTTTTGAACGCGTTTATATCGGAGCGTTAACAATGTAACCAGGGAAGCTGTTCCACATGTTGGTGACACAAGGCGAAAAGAAATGTTGTCGCGTGGATGAGTTGCAACTCAGTTTTTAGCGAATTTTCTCATTTATGGAAAAATACACTGTTGTGCTCGCCATGGATGTCCGACCGTCCGTCTGTCCTGTCCATCTGGCCGTGTGTCTGTCTGTCTGTCCGTCCGTGACTTCACGTTTTCGTCGACGAGAAAATGCGCTCTCTGTCACTCACTGCAGTGAGTACTGAGTTACATTTTTGGTTTATAGCAGTGGCCCCTGGTGTTGGTTCTTGCTGCAAATTCTGGTAATCCTTCTGGGACTTTGTATAAACCATGAGTATACTTGTATACTTCAATGAGGTCACCACGCAGATGTCGATAACAGAGACTTGGAAGCTTCATAATCTTTAATCTTTCTTCACAGGACTTGCTCATTAAGCCAGCAATTATTCTTGTTCATGGCGTTTCCAAACTCTAGGTTTGGGCGAACAACATCGACAAGCAACAGCTTTGTCGCTTCTGCATCCAAGAACTCCTAGAAGCGTCTGATCAGTCCCAGAAGTTTATTGGATTTATTAGCTTGCGTTTCAATACGCCTTGAAAATTTCAGCTCATGTCGACATTAACTCCCAAATCTTTTTCCACCGTAGACTTTTCAATCATTACTTTCTCACTGCAACCATGTCTTCTCATACTGTAATCATGCTGTTCAGTGTTCTTCCCGAGGTGAAGTATTTTACACTTGTCAGCATTAAAACGCATCTGCCACGTATCAGCCCAGTTAACTAAACTATCAAGATCATCTTACAATTTCACTTCATTTGCCGCATCCTCAACTATATTGTAAACTTTTGTGTCATCGGCATACATGGAGCACACGCCTGACAGAACGATTCCTTGTGGCACGCCACTGCGCACTGATGCCCAGTCTGATACGGTTCCGTTAATACCGACACGTTGTCGTCTACCCACTAGATGACTAGAAAATCTCTGATCCAATGGAGTACATTTCCCTTTATTCCCAAAGACTTCACTTTACGCAAGAGACGCTCATGCGAAACTAATGTCAAATGTTTGACTCAGACGCTCATGTCAAATGTTTTGGTAAAATCGAGGTACAATGCATCCACTCGCTCCCTTTCGTCCAGCATCCGAGTACAATCGTTAAACGTAGGCAAGAGGTTAGTGGTGCAGGATCTACCGGAAATGAAGCCATGTTGACAGTCTGATAGGAGATGTTAACAGTCAAGTGATCAATTATCCTATCCCCCTCAATAGATTCCATTACCTTACAAACAACATTTGTCAGACTGACGGCGATAGTTGCCGGGGCTAATTTTGTCACCTTTTTAAACAATGGTGTTACTGGAGCTTCTCTCTAATCGGTCGGCAAATTCCCTCCGTTCAAAGTCTTTTGAAAGAGTACTGTCAAAGAGCCAGCCAAGCTGTCTGGTCCACATGACTTGGTGGGATTTAAAGCGACCAGACGCTTGAGAACTGTTATGTATTTCAAAACCTGTTAACTTCGAGCCTACTGGGCGCTCCTCAATAGCTGGAATACTGTACAAGTCAGCATCTATGAACACACTGCTAAAGAACTGATTAAGAACGTTAGCCTTGCCCTCGCATCAGATGATATCTTTCGTTGGTATACTTTTAAATCAGCAATACTGTCGTTTCGCTTACAGTTCGAGCTAGCGAACAAAAAGAAGGCTGTCGGGTTCTTATTTGTATTTTAGCAATATTTTTTCAAAGGTTTTCACTGCCGTGCGACAGATTTGTTTACCTTGATTTCGAGCTCTTGCATAGAGGCTACAATCAGCAGCGCTGCGAGTTCGTAAATAACGCATATAGACTTCCATCTTTGTCTTTAGCTTAGCCATGACTTTTCGTTCCTTGTGACTTTTTTACTCCACCGAGCCAAATCTTAGGTACACACGCATCAACTGCAGACAAAACTGTGTCTTTGAGATATGACCATGAGTCAGCCACATTCATGTCCTTAATACAGGCCGAGATATTCGCCGCACTCAATGCTACATAATCGCCTTTGGCAAAGTTCGATCGCATCACGCTTCGGGGGCGTCTTTTCGGTATAACACTTAATACTGAAAAACAATGATTGGTGGTGACTTTTACCAAACGGAGCCTCATGATGAGACTCTCCACTGCTAAACACTAGATCTAGAATATTTGGGGTCTGTTTACCCCTAAAATGGGTTGACTTGCTGATGTTCTGGACTACGAATGAATCTCGCGCAGACTCCAAGAACAAGGATGCAAGGTGATTCCCATCTCTGGGAGAAGATTCATCTACACAGTCTATTTCTTGATGATTAAAGTCACCAACGATCAACGTATGCGACCTGCTGAAAGTCATGATCGGTAAAAGGCTGTTTAGTACATCATCATTATTAGAGAAACTGTTTGATGTTCGATACACAACACCTATGAGGAGGCTATCGTTGCCTTTTAGAGAAAGTTTGCACCACACTGATTCTCTAGCTAATTGTTGCTCTGCAGATAACTGAACTTGCTGGTTACATAATAGGTTCTGACCCACAGAGCAACACCTCTACTGCACTGCTCTTCGTTCAAGTTATGAAAGCAATCAAAACCTAGCAACTGAAATTCATAAGGTAGAATTTTTCCCCGTGATTTTTAGAGAGTGTTTCTTAATACAAATGAAGTCTAAACACTCGTTCGCGATCGCAGTTAACAGTTCAATTTTTTTAAACAGAATTCTAGTTAAAATTTTTTTATTATTTTTAAACTTTTAAAACTTTTTGTGCACTCTCACTTCGATGTATACGATTACTTCTTACACTATTTGCATCTTTAACTGACTGTAAGCGGCTGGTGTTGTCTTGACTTTTTAAGAATGGTTGGCCTGATTTTCCATGTTTTTCCGCCTGATTCTCTCTCGCCAGTTCTTGCGAAAAACCGCCCTCCCTAGAGGGTGGCATCTTTCTTCACGAAAACGGACTAGATACTCAGCGGGTTTTCCCAGCTTTCTCGCTGCCTTCAACACGCTCCAAACCTGAGCAGGATCCTTTACAGTCACCAACAGAGGTCTGCAGGTGTTGACAGCGCATCCTCTGAGTGCAGCCTCTTACACGATGTAATATCAAAAGGTGTGCTGAGTGCCTTGCTACAAAATTCTGCAATAAATGCAGTATCAGTCATCACTCGGTCCTTCGCAACAGGTGCAGTACTGACGTGAATACCAAACCACCCAAGGTTGGACTTCCTACACTCTGTCAAGTAATTCGCTGGAGCTTTCGCTAGCGACTTCGGATAAATCAAATCTCTGATTATTTTATTCGATTTATTCTGTATTTTTTAACTGAGCTTTCACTTCAGTCAGTTTATTGCATTACGAGCACTATTTTTTGCTCAACGAGCGCACCATGTCACTCAAAAAGTTTATTACATCAGTCAACGATTTCAACCCGTTACCTTGCTCTTCAACCGTTTATTTGCTTTTTCGAGTACCATGAGTTGGTTTTTCGCAGTCACTGCAAAACCAATAAGTTATTTAGTATTCTGGAGAAATGAGTAATGTTCAGAGCTCAACTTCGAACAGCTGATTCAAATGAAATCTTCGCAACGTTCACAGGTGACCGTCTGAAAAAATTCGCTCAGAGAGATCTCTTAGCAGTACTTGCAAACTTTCATCTCTAACTGAGCTGATATGGTTTTTTCATAGAGGAACTAGAGGCCGTAGAGGGCTTTTCGACTGCCTTTTCTATTTTTTGTCCAATAATAATAAAATACACGGAGTAGAGCGCTTGAACGGGTAAAAGGACGGAGAAAAACTAGAAACAGTGAGTAGAATTGAGTATAGTTAAACTTCCCTCTAAAATTTCTACTCTGGCAGAACAGCTGAGGTAACAGCTGTAGCTGGCGATGGAAAGACAATGGTGGGCTGGGGGAATCAAGGGCTCGAAGCTACAGGGGAGTAGAGAGGGGGAGGAGTAGGTAAAGGTAGAAATTTAGCTCAAGAAATTTAGGCCTAACCGAAAGCCAAGCGTGCAGTATTGTACCCTCTTTCGCAAGCTTACCCTCGTTTTTTTTTTCAGGAAAAAAAAACAGGGAAAGCACTTTTTATTCACTTACACTCTTTATTCGCATTCCTTTTCACTGACTTCACTGAAGTCCTGAAGTCTTTCTACTGAAAGGCTTCAGCACGAAACGCATAAATAGAGCTAGTCCGGCACAGTGCAAAGACCAGTTTTGAACCCGAGGTACACCCACTTCCACAATGGGACACAGCTCAGCCGCTCAACATGTTGACTCATTGAGTCTGGCAGAGACTGTTTGCGCAATATGGTTATACTTCTGGGAGCATGATTACACGATATAATGCTTAAGTAACCCGTCAATATGGCCCCTGGACGCTCAATAATATTGCGCAACCCAAAAATATTGCCCAATAAATCAATAATATTGAGCGTTAAGGGGGAAGCTTCATGTAAAAGAGTAGTGTTATGCATTTGTGTAAAACAGAAGTGCTGTATTGTTTATATTTCGAATGAATTGTGTTGGTCGTTTGTAATATTTGTTTATGAAGTTTGCTTATAATAAGTTTTTTGTTCATCGTTTAATTCGTACATTTTTTAAATCATCGGCTTAATGACTGGGGTAACAAAAAGTTTGGTTTATATATATTTTTAATATTCCTCTGTAATATGAGCACACTTCACTGAAGATTGCGACTGGGTGGCTCAAAATTCTACATGTCTCTGTCTTCTAACATGACCAGACCACACCGAGGATTGCAACTGTGATACTCTTAGGTCTCCATTCTTTGTCCTCTGAATCGAGCAGACCACACTGAGGAATGCAACTGAGCGACTCTAAAGTCTATAGTCATTGCCCGCTGTCTTGAGCAGACCACATTGAGGAATGCAGCTGAACGACTCTAAAGTCTACATTCTTTGTCCTCCGACTTGAGCAGATCACACTGAGGAATGCGACTGGGTGGCTCTAAAGTCATCCGTCTTCTTGCCGGTGCATTGGACACAGGCAAAAACTCTTTTTCAGAGCCCAAAAAAGAACGAAACTTTCCCGCCCCTGGAAGCCGTGAGTATTTAGAGATTGTTTTTTGAGCTATATTCCTGTGAACTATATTCATATGAGCTTTATTCGTCTCGCATATATTCTTATGAACTATATTAATGTGAGCAATACTCGTATAGCATAGCATACCATCTTCTGCGTTGAAGAAATAAATCAAGCCGATTCTTGTACTTATCGTGGTCCATAGATCCGAAAATTGGCCTTTTGACCAGATCTTTCCAACTGAAGTTGATTTTAAATCATCATTGGACGTTTACTAGTTCCGTAGAATGCTAGGCATTTCGAGACTGAACATATACTTTTGCATAGCATTGTCTAGTTTATTCTTGAAGGCGTTCATACTGGGAGCGTCAACAATATCATCAGAGATCGAGGCTGTACCCCATGTTGGTGTCTGGAAGCGAGAAAAAAAGTTTTCGCGTAGATGAGTTTTACCACAGTTTTTAGCCTTTAATCGTGACTCCTGGTGTTGGTTCTTATTCCAAATTCTAGTAATCCTTCTGAGACTTGTACAGACCATAAGTATACTTGTATACTTCAAAAATGCCACCACGCAATCGCTGATAACTGAGACTTGAATGCTTCATAATCTTTAACATTTATCCATAAGACTTGCCCTTTAAGGCGGGAATTATTCTTGTTGCACAATTTTAAACACTCTCGACCAAATTTTTTACTTTTTCAAGTATCGGTGACCAGACGGCGTTTCCAAACTCTAGGTTCGGGCGCACAACAGCGACAAACATCAGCTTCATCGTTTTCACAGCTAATAGCTGTCTCTTATACACATCTAGATGTGTATAAGAGACAGGAACTGGTCAGCGAACATTTCAGGTTCACTTGAAACAGGCTACATGGGTGATATACGGCGCATGAAATGACGAAGAACTTGTTAAAGGCTGAAGTATGTGCGGGAAGATATCAGGGGTTATAATGAAGGCGCGACAGAACCTTCGATATTATTAATATATTGGCAAAAGTATCAGAGGAGCTTAATATTTAATAAAGCAGAGTCAACCTATAGTAGCCCCTAGACGGTCATTGCGCAATATCATTGAGCATCTAGGGGTGACATTGACGGTATACGCAATATATTTTGTGGTTTTCAGAATTTCGAAAATATATTGCGCAACTGTAAGATATTATGCCGTCTAAAGGCTATATTGCGCAATATTCTCACTCAGTGCTTCCTTAGTGGTAGTTCGACGTGGTTGTGTCAATCGCATACCTTTATAATGGCGGGCAGAAGAAACTTCTTCTAGAATTTATTGAGCTTTATAGAGAGTCTCCAAGCTTCATGGGATGTTTACTTTAATGATTATAATAATCGTTAAAGAAAGGGGAGCAGTACAAGATGCTGATTGAATAGTACTCGTATTTCNATTATTATGAACTGTATATTAGTGTGAGGCATATTCATGTGAGTTATGTTCGCCCTGACGGAGCTGAACTCATTTCGCGACAAGTGATCGTATATTATGTATATAGGTGATCGTACAAGTGATCGTATTCAAGACAGGTGACCACTCCGCGCGTTGGAGGCATGACAAATGAACATATCTATGCCTGGTCGCCACCACCTGAATAAATCTCATGATATTTATTATAGCGATTTCAGCGTTTATTAGGCCATATGCCTGTCGCCAATTCTTAACATCGCAGAACATCCACAGCTTGTTGCGGTCTCGAACTCGCAACTCACTGCTACAATTCTGCTGTGCTTAACCGCCCGGCCTCCTCGCCGATTCTGGCCAGAAACTGGCGCACAGAGCTGGGATCGAACCCGCGCCTCTCTGCGTCAATCTTGGTACTCTGAACTGTAACCATTGGGCTACCCTGCCCAGTGGTTAAAGTTCAGAGTACCAAGAGTTATATACACTAAGATAATTAACAGATTAATGAACGTCATGCTCAGGAACCGATACCCAGGATTGGAGAGTTTATGTCCGCATTGATCATTATTGTGAGAAGCTATTCTATGGAGCACGAATCATGAATTGTTCAATGTTTTTCCTTGCAGCTGTACCCGGGGAGCCTGGGCGTCCATTACACTAACCACATAACTAAAAACTTGAAAGTTCCGCCTGGCAGCATCATGCAAGTTATCGCCTCAGGATCCTGTCCAGTCATCTTCGAGAAGCATCCGCTGCTCTGATGAACAGTTATTTCTAAGNGGCACGCGTTCAAACTCTCAAGTGGCTTTTGCACCAATTATATCCTTCCATGACCCAAAAAGCATATCATAGCCAAGACAGACATAGTAATTGTGGAAGAATATTTTTGAGCCGCTGTTGAATGATTAATCATATACCAATACAATTATTAACAATGCAATAATTAAATGAACGTAGTCTTGATGACTGTGAGCGACGGACGAGTCACATACGTTCAGTTTCTGCGAGTTCTTTCTGCTTTAAAAATAAGGTAAAAAATCAAATACAAAGAACCTTAGGTATTCAGACCTAATTCCTATGAACCTTGGGCATTGCATGATTTACTAAACGAATTAGGTTTAAAATTTGAGGTTTCATATTAAGCACTTAACGCGTTAAGTTCATCATGTAATTTCAAAAGACAATTTCCTAGCTCATGAGTTTAATTTTCATCCGAAATCGATTTGAACTCATCATCCTTCCAAATCATGTAAATGTCACTTTCAACGAATTATTAGGAACTTATGTCATGGGTATTAATAAGAATATATTTTTGTTATGTGATTGCAGACCAAAACGTGGAAGAGAAACGTAAATAATGATGTTTGGAATTATATATTCATCTCCGTTATCCACGGCTGGAAATCTTCGACTTCAAGAAGTACACATCGGATGTCCAGTGGAAAGAGGGTGGTAAAGGAGATGGAGATTGAGATTTGATTTTAGAAGTTACAAATGGCCGTTCCTCTTCCCTAATAAGTTAATGTAAATGAGTATTATGTACGTTGTGGTACAGAAGCTGAAGATTCAGTATGTTTATTAATGGATAAAAGAATGATGGCGCCGACCAACACCAGAGGTGTTGGAAGGTTGTTAGAACCAAGACATGCAGGACATGGACAAAATGGAATAACATCAATATCAAAAGAATAATTGAAAGACAACTGGTAATTCAGTTATTATGTTGGCAATAATAAATTCCAATCATCTGAATTTAGTTTTGAATGTTGACTTGGCAGCTAACCCTTAGTAGTTGTTTACACCACGTTGTAAGACAGACGATAGAGCTAGGGCAAGACTGGCTAATGGTTACCCGCTGGGCTGCTCTGAACAGACTTCGCAATATTTGATGGTATGATTCAAACATTAAAGCAATTGCGTCGTGTACTGAATTTTTATTATTCAGAAATTATATGAGTGTTATACGTGCTCGAGAATTGACAAGATTTCCTGACTGAGTATGTGTATAATTGTTTAATAGTGAAATTGCCTACCAAAATAGATAGGCGAGTTTGAGATAATTAAGTTACATATAGCTACATAGATTGATGATCAGCGGCTTTGGAGATTTAGCAAAATTAATTACGACATTCACAAGAAAAGACAGCGTCGTAAAAGACAGCGCTTCTCTGTCGACGCCGGAAAAGACAAATTCGAGACACTACAGTCCCAATAACCGTCCTAGTCTCCAAGATCATCTGTTGAGGCATCGCCTCTGTAGACGCTGTCGGTGATGTAGCCTTCCGCCACCGACCTGATCGAGTTGTGTGGCAGGCCAAGGTCCCTGTGCAAAAATGGAAATAAACCCATAGATAAAAATTGAATTTGGCGCACGACGTTTGAGGATATGTTATCGTGGCATAGCGCATAGTAGTGCATTCAGCTAAGCTACACAAACGCCCTGAAACAAAGAAGAAGTTGAGCAGCTTTGACTGCGTCGATGAAAGCCGTCGAATGAGGTCTGTAAAAGGTGGAAAATGGAACGAAACGGTAATGACGAATTTTATAGGAAGAGTTTGATGAAGCAGTTGGTGGCATAGTTTCCACTTTTGCTGAGGAGGTGAAAAAATCTGTAGATCAGCGTAGAGTGTAGGTGAGAGACCTAATAAGGTCTCGTTGAAGTTTCAAAATCCTACTCTCGCAATAAGTTTTTGTTGGAATATTCTTGGTTTCAATGGTTTCGATGGTTTTACTCTTGGTTTCGATGGTCGGGCACCGGCTTTGGTTTCGATGTCACTACGGTGCCCGGCTGTCAGTCAGTGTTAGAGTTGCTTCTGCTGAGGTGATGTCAAGTAGACTTGCTGAAAATGAGTTCATCGGCTGAAGATTCATCAGAATCGTCTTTACAGCCATCATCAGGTACGTTTAATCAGTTATAAAAATGTTAAATGTGGACCGTACAACAGCGAGCCAAGCTGTAATTTTCCTCTTAATGTGAGAGTTGTCTACTCATTTTAGCATTATTTTAGCTCAATAATTTTAGTCGCCTAATAGCGATGCATTTGAAGTATGTTATGCATGAAAAGCATCAAAGTCCGTAGTACTCTAAGTTTACCACTTCTTTATTTACCTTCCTGATTCGTGAGGTAATGTTGATCAATTTTATATTAATTAATATGGATGAGAGTTGCCGGCCACATTTATCAGTGGAACGATTAATTGTGGATCGTCGCGTGCGAAAGAACGGGTATAGCAATGAAAGAGCAGTGAAAGAGAAATGTCTTTCTTCGAAATTCGTTATCCGATTTTTATTTTTCATATGGACGAATTTCAAATAAATTCTCAAAAGATTTCTCAAACGCATAATTTCTAGAGTAACAATAAACACGTTAGAAATTCTAACGAATGTAATTTTGAGCTTATGTTGACTTTAATGTTGAATTTCTGAACGGTAAGCATAGTCACGGAGTTATTCGTCTTAAACGCATATCTAGTAATCAAATGTGAAATTTCAAGACTTATTTAAACTAAGTGAATTGGTGCTAAATTGGTGCATTATGTGCAGCGGTGTTATAAAACGGGGACGAGCACTGTCCAGCATTGAGCGATTTATTAGGGCTTATACAGGGAAGAAATTAGGGCTAATGATTCTTTGCTTAGTGTAGCGTGTAATGTCTTTCTGACAATTATCGATGTTATTGTATGATTGTTAATAAAAAAACATTTACAAATAAAGTGATCGACATTGAAAGAGGAATTTCCTATCTGTAAATGTCAGTAAAAGACACAATAGCAAAGCCTATTCAAATACAAGAGTAACTCGAAGTTTTAATCGAGACTATATATTCTCCGAATCAACAATGAAAATGTATTTGCTAACATATAGATTAGATTAACATTTTCCAATAAAGTTTCAGTTGCTGCTTGAAATACAGCGTTTTTGGACCAGGAATTGAATTCACCAATTTCGCCTCAGCGATCGGAAGAAAGTGAGGCGTCAGACGCACCGCTGTCGGGTAGTACCTTGGACTGTTTTTAATGTTATTATTAAGCATAAATTTTGCGGTTGACTCATTTCCCTAGTAAATATAATACTGGTAGATTCATAATTATAATTACTTTAATACTGGCACACAATACAACTGATAGCGGCCATATTTTCACAGCATATTAAAAGCAACCATGGTGAACTAAAAGCCTCATAAATCTCTATTATAAGACTTGTTAATGACTCGGTATTTATCGCTAAATAAAAAAGTCGAATCATATAAATGCACGACTCAAATATTGTTCCATCAGGCGCATCAGGATATGAATCAAAAATTTAAAACTCTGTTAATTAGCTTAATTTGAAATTCCATAAGCAATAACATTTGGGGTATAAAAGAAAACTTATTAAAACTTATATCTCTATAAATATTGTATCGGCATTTCATGAACGTCGGATTTAAATTGAGAACATCGCATTCTCCAGGCCATCTCTAAAACACAATTATTCTTAGAAGAATGATTTTTTCTATTCTTCAGCTTAGATTAGTTTCAAATGAACTGATACTGATTTGTATGATCTTTTGTTAACTATTGCAAATTGTTATTTCTTTGCTATAATATTACCTGAATGCACATAAATGGCGGTGAATTCGCCATCGTAGTTGAGGGTAATATTTGCATGTTGAAGACTCCACTTAATGAATATCGCAGACCAAATATCTTTTGTAGTTTACAAATTGAAATAAACTTTACTTTGATTCCGCAGATTCTGGCAAAATTGAAGTAAAAGAGAAAGATGCTTCACAGGCCAATTTACAAGACCCCTCACTGCTTACCGCAGGTTCGTTTGTTAATAGTAAATTAGATTATGAGCGGCTGAGTAGCAATCAAGTATCTGAAGTGAGAAGATGAAATGGGCTGCATCCAAATGTCCTATGTACGTTCATATTTCTTTGGTATAATTGACATATGGTGAAAAATTATTTAGTAGCCATTACTCAGCGATACATGCGCAAATGGGTGACGAACGAATTCTTCTTCCGTTCATTATATCAGGATAAAAAATTGATGTCACTTATTTGCTTAAATCGCAAGTTAACCAAAAATTTAAAAGCAAGGATTAAACCACAAATGTTCATATCTTTATGGAAAACGTTT